CCGAAGATAAAAGTTATATAATTTTGATTAGCCGAATTATATACTTTTTTGATGAATGATTGACGAGTGGCATTATATCGAATAAATCCATTTCGACTAGTGTAATTTATCTTTTTTAAAAAAAAAATTAATAAATTATATAATAAAATTAATAAAAATTATATTTTGAAAAGTTTTTTTTTGAATTAAACAAACTTAAAATTTAAAATTAACTTTTTAACAATTGTTTTATCAAAATATATTGAATTTTTTTATCAATAATTAAAAAAAATTTCTAATGATATAATTTTAATATCAAGTCAATACTGAATTTACTATAAGTTTAATATAATAAATTACAATTCTTATATATTGATTCAAAATCCTATCAGTAATATAAAAAGATCTAAATTTAAATATATAATTTTTTAAAAATTTTTGACTGTATAAATTATTAATTTATGAATTATTTATTGAAAATTTTAAATTATTTGTTTTAAAATTTTTATAATAATTGAAATTTTAAAAAAGATGAAGTTACTTATGACTGACACTACACTTGTATTATACAGTATTTTTTTAAAAAAACAAGATTTATAATATATAATGTGTATAATAATTACGTATTTTCATAAATTATATTTAAAAGTAATGTTAGTTTCGCACAAGTGATGCACAGGTGACGCACAATGCCATAGGTGTGTCGCATAAGTGAGGTAAAATTCTTCATTTATACAAATTGATCTGCACGTATTTCTTTCACACATTAAATAATCACGTCATGCTCAATGTATTTAATACGTGTTTACAATGTAATTTATTTATTCTCAAGCTCTTTTCGATACGGTCACTATGTATCGTCCTGTGGGTCTCCTAGTTTGCGACTTTGACGAGACTATAACTCAGTGCGATTCAACATGCGAGATAGCGAAACTTGCGTATGAAAAGAGGTCACGACAGGGTAAATGCCCGCGGTCAGACAAAAATAAGTCCATCGATGTTTGTCCACGACCGTGGTCACACTACGTGAAAAGTTATTTCAGAGAACGTAAGGAACACATCAAACGTTGGCATGAAACTAATTCAAACAAATCACTTCAAGATCACTATGAATTTTTGAAAACACTTGGAGAAGTTGAAATGATTTCAATGGAACGCGTCGAAGGGGATAATTGTTTGTCTGGAATATGTAGTAGCGAATTGTTTGAGCATGGAAGAATGCTAAAAAAACGAGATGGAGCTGCGGAAGTTTTGAAGAGATATTTACCAAAACATAGAGGCGGCAATGATTCTAGACACCTATATATCCTTTCTACAAATTGGTCACGAGACATGTTATTTGGCAGCTTAAAGGATTATGTCGGAATAGAAAAAGAACGTATTGTATCAAATGATTTAATCTTTGACGAAGCAGATACTGCAACCGGAAAATTAGAGAGGAATGTACTTTCGGCAATTGATAAACTTAAAATATTTAAAAGTTTGGAAATTCCTAAGGGAACAATGTCAGTTTACATTGGCGATTCCGATACGGATTTACCTTGCATGTGTAAGTTTTATTTTTGATTGAACTTTCTATTTACCTTGATACGAAATCATAATAACTTTTTTTTTATCATCCAAGTGGAGGCTGATATAGGAATCATAATGGGAAGTAATTGTGCGCTAACAGAAACTTGTGAAAAATTTGGAATTGAAGTTGTTGATGGGCTAGTGGGGAAGATAAATATGAAAGATTTTAGTTCTAAGAAGGGATGCAACAAACTTTTTAGGGTCCAAGAATGGAAGGAAATATTAGATAGTAAATTGTTGGGTGATTAAACTGTGATAAATAACAATACCAAAATTTTTTCAATGAAATACCATTTGATCAATTAGGTAATTTATTAATTACGTATAAAGATTTAATGGCCGTTTGAATTACTATTATATAATTTATCGTTATTTTTTAAAACGATGATTAGTTTTAAAGATTTCATAAATTCAAAATATTTGCAGAATATTTATACTACTGGCAGAAAAAATCGACAATTTTTTTTTATTATATTTAATATTAAAATTAGTTAAAGTAAATTTATTAGTATTATAAAATATTATACTTAAATTTCATTAAGTTTCTTAATAAAAATACATAAATAAATTTTTAATTTATAAAATTATAGATTAAAACAAAATTAATTTTTTGAATTTTTTATTTTTATTTTTTTGGGGGGATTTTCCCCATAGGTAAATATCATTTCTTTATTTGATATTGTATATAATAAAGTATACATCATGAAAGAAACAACATCTTTTTTATTATTTCAGAAAAGTTAAATGCTAGCTTGTCTATTTAACATTATTTAACTAATATTGTAAAAAATTTCAAAAACAATACTATGGTGCTAAAAAAACTCTTTCCACTAATTCTTTTGCTAACCCAAAAAATAGACATTCTCAAAAGATTTTATGTCTTTATAATAATAAAGTCTATATATTTTTTCTAATAACACTGATTTTCTAATTAGCAAAGTGAGCAGAAGCTACCACTTGTTTTCTTTTTCTTTTTCTTTTTTAAAACATTTTTCTTATTTATTTTGGTAACTAAATATAAGAAATCTATCTAAAAGATCTATGGCAAAAACATCTCTTTAGAAAGAAAATTGACAAGAAAAAATATACTTCAAAGACTTTTAAGAGATTCAAAATTTTCAAGAAACAAGAATAAAGAAGTTCTAGTCTCTTTATTATCTCTTTGACTTCCTACTTTTTTTTTTTCAAGCATGCTTTCTTTTTTCTAATTTTTCTGAAGAATTTTGTCTATCTCAATTTGTCCCTGAATTTTTGGTTATAACAGATCTTCTAAAAGATAATTAGTTAAAATCATGGATTAATTAATCATGTCAATCACAGAAAAAGTAAACAAAACATATACTCCTTATGTGTTTCCAGTCATGCAATATCAAACTGATGATGTGATTGGTTCCTGAAAGAGTTGAACAGTTTTTAGTTAAAAAAATAACATGGAAGTGTTAAATGAAACAGAAGTTGTAAGTAGAAAAGGAACAATTGCTTATTTTTTTTTTTATTATTCTTTCTTGAGGACAATAAGTAGCAATAAGATTCAGAATTTAGGTTTCATTCCAATTTGGCAACAAGTTGAAATATCAATATTTATCCCAAAAATTGTTGGAAAAAGGAGTCTTGAAACTATTTACTGGTTGAGTAAAGCAATAATTCCAGAAGACATAATTTAAAAGAGAAATTAACAATAGAAAACTAATATCCTTTTTGATTAGAAGTAAAGTTTCAAGAAATACTCTTCTGAAAATATCTTTTAAACATTCTTGGATATTGATCACTCTAATGGAAATTAAATAGTCTGGCTAATCACAGGTGATAAAAAACAAAAAATCATAAGAGACTTGGATTTGGACTTTAAGTTCACCAAAATAACCTTTTCAATTATAATTAGAATAAATAATAGCTTTTATTTCCTTTTTTCATATATTGTTTCAATTATGTATACTTGTGTTGTTTTTTTTTTCCTATTTCTTTTTTTTCCTTACTCTTTATGTAGTTTTTGCAAAGAGAGAACAATACAATTTGGGTTTATAGTTGTGACTATAGAAGTGATCTGCAGGTGTTGATTCTAGTGACATAATGGAATCTTAATCTTAATAATTAGGCTAGCAACATAATACTTCTATAAATTACATCTAAAGGCTTCAACTTTTGATATATGAGCTGTATTTTAAGTAAATTTATACTTTACATATATTCTCATATGTATAATGGTTCTCTATAATTTAATAAATAATAATACTAGCTTGATTGTAAAAAAAAAAAAAAAGCAATATAATAGTACTAGATAAAGTTGAGTAGTGGTTATACCTACTAATTTAGAATATTTTGTGAAATCTTTTAATTTTTTGAATATATAAAAATTGAAAAAAAAAGAAAAGTAACTGTAATTAAAACTAGGTCAAATAAATTATAAGATTTATAAGTAAAAAACTAATTATTTTCTTAAGAAAGCTCTCAAATGAACTTATGATCTTATCTTTCCAACTTTTTAATTACTATAGATAATAAAGTATATATGAAGTTGTTTATTGTTATAGTTGTTAGTAAACATCAAAGTTCCAAAAATTAGAATCAAACAGAATCACAGAGAATTACATGAGGTTTAGAACACTATTAAAAATGATGATAAGATATATCCTATCTATTAAATTTAATATAAACTTAAGAATCAAATACAGAATTGAAGAAAATCATTAGGATTCTTAGTAGACATATAATTAATATTATTGTTGTAATCATTATTGGAATTGTTGTTATAATACAAACCCGATTTGAACAAATTTGATTTTTGTTTTAATTTTAAGCAAAATCTGATTGAATGATTGAGAAATGCTAATCATTTGTAGAGGATAAGTTGATTTCAGTTTTTTGGTCAAATAAAAATATTAAGGAATTTGAAATGGCATGTAAATATTATTATGATAAAGTAATATTTATGAGTTGACTTGAAATAAACAATAGATCTAATAATTCTGTTTGAGCATATCGTTAAGGTGAAAGTAAACTATATAAATAATGGACACAAATGAGAAAAATATATAAAGAAATATAATTTTATCAAGGTATCCAGTATTTCTAGTATATTCTAGTATTTTAAGTTATCTATCTAATAACAAGTAGTATAAAGTAATTATCAAGTATAAAGTAAATAACAAGTATAAAGTAAATAACAAATATAAAGTTGTATAAATCATAAAACATAAAAAGTATAAAAGTAAGATAACGATATAGAAAAAAGAGAGAGAAACACACATCCAAAAAGGCTATCCACTTGGAGAAGGTCCCTAACCAAAAAGTGATCATGCAGGAGATTACTATTTATGACACAAGATCGATGGATCAACCTGTATCATTGTCAAACTCGAGCCAAATATACACGTCTCTTTTGATAAGAAGTCATTCTCTATCATAGTATGGCATAAAAAAAAACAGAAGTGACAGATTTGCCATATTTTACTATAACAGTATCATGTATTTCTTTTGTATTAATTGTTGTTATAAGTCTTGGATTTAATTCATCATATTCTTAAAAAACATCATTGATATTATAAAAATTAAATTGTAAATAAAATAAAAAATAAATATTTACTGTTTTTTTATTTTTTCCATCAATTCTTCTCCCCAATTGTTATCTATAAAATATTGAATTTTAAATCTTGAATCCAAAATAACTGCCAGTATATAAATTTTATTTGTCTTGTTATAATATTCTAAAATTTTTTACAACATGCTTTAGCTGCTTCTTTTATATTTGAATCAACATTTTTTTCACCAGATTTTTCAAATGATCGATTAAAATATTAAATAATGGAATTGTTATAAATAATATCAAATATGTTAATGCTGATATTATTGTAGTTGTTTCTTGAAAGAGCTCAAGAAATTCTGCTATTTGTTTAAATATATCCCAATTGTTATCTGTAAATATATAATTTTTTAATTCTTGATTTGAAATCATTAAATATTCAATTGTCTAAAAATATAAATTATTTAAAATTATATTAAAAAAATATTAAATAACAGTATTTAAACTTACTGTTTTTAATTGTATAGCACATGCAATTATGTTATATGTTGAATTCCATTGTGTTTTAACATCTAAATTAGTTTTAAAGTTTCTATTTTCTATATTTTATAAGCATCATTTAATTTTTCCATTTGCTAAGGTGATGATTGTATTTTTATTACAAGTTTTCGTAACTATATAAAAATAAATTAGTAAATATAAAAGAAAATATACCTGTTGCAAAACTTACCTGTTTTAAATTTTTTCTCTATATATTTAAAGTATCTTATATACTTAAATTAATAATATGTACAAAACATCACAAGTGATTTTCTGCTATACTAAAAGAAATTGCTTGGGTTTTACTCCACCTTTTATTAATTTAGCAAATGTTATATTGTTTGTAGTATTGTTAATCATAATTCCTAATATCTTTAAAATTAAATAATAATATCAGTTATATATAATATTTATTTTAAATATAATATATGAGATAAATTTACCTTAGTTTGTATTATAAATTTGTTTAAACATAATAAAAATGCTTCTTTAATACTTTCATCTAAATAGATACTTTACAATTGTATAAAATCTATTGTTATATTTTGCATTATTCAATTTTTGTCAATAAAATATACAGTTATAACTAAAAATACTTTCATTGAAACCGATGTTCAAATATCTAATGTAAAAAAAATTCAGCTTCCTGTTTTTTGTAATATTTTTTGAATTTTTTCTGAATTGTTTAAATAAAAATCCATTATACTTGTCTTAATAGAAATAGCTGAAGGTATTTTTGCATCTGGTGCAAGTGTTTATATAAATTCAAAAAAAGCTAGTTCTTGAACAATTATAAATGGCTGTTAATTTATAACAATCCAATAGATAAGTTTTTTTTTTTTTAAGGACTAAAATGCAATACATGCACAGATTTTATTTCATAAATCACATGATTTACAAGTTACCATTACATGAACAGTCTAAGTTATTGCTAATTAACTGACGACCCTGCCCTTATTCTAACCCAAATACCAACTTACACCTTGGGGTGGGTTCATACCTAGGCATGGACTATGCAGAGGGCTGTTTGGATAAGTTTTTTTTCATTTTTGCAGAATTATATATCCACTAGATATAAATAAAATTTATAATATTATTTACAATTTTGAAATATTTCGAAAATTACCTTTGTTTTAAAAAAATTTACTATATTGAAATTATCAGTTACTAGATTTAATTTTGCTGGATG